CAATTAAGTTGGTGAGCCAATGATGCTGGACAAGGGTGTAGAACCTCTGATACAAGTTACGGTGCCCAAATTTGCATAGGATAGCTGGTAAGAGGAGTCATCTGAGGTTGACTGTCGATTGTTTTGTTTTGTGGCTTTGATTTTGGTGAAGATATGGGGCGTTAGGAATTGTCAAAGGTGTAATAGTTAGACTCAGGGTTTCAGGGTTTAATTAGGCAAGGAAAGGTTAAGTTTGGGGTCTGCTCTCAATGCTATGGACATCAACTCCAGTAGTTTTTGGTTGGCTTAGCCCTGAATTCTGATTGGAGAAAGGGACTTACGGAAAAATGGATGAATAAATGTGGCATATTAAGTTGTGGTTTTGAGGGTTAAAAAGCGTGGCTCACAAGGTCTGATGAAAGGTTTAGATGCCCAGAAACATACTGTAATTAGGCTCATTTACTCCCAGTTCTATTTGGACTAGGGCTTTGACCTGACTGAGGACTTTGTAGAAACCGAATGATGTCATTTAGCCTTTGGACCCAAGAGGCTTCTTGATTGTTGTGATCCTACAGCCTNCAGAAACATACTGTAATTAGGCTCATTTACTCCCAGTTCTATTTGGACTAGGGCTTTGACCTGACTGAGGACTTTGTAGAAACCGAATGATGTCATTTAGCCTTTGGACCCAAGAGGCTTCTTGATTGTTGTGATCCTACAGCCTTTATTTTATGTATCCAAAACTGACTTTATTTTTCAGCCTCTCAATAACTTCAACAGGGCCTTACTACTTGCATTTGGTGAGCATTGTGAATACAAGTCATTTACATGCATCTAACAAAAAAAAAAAAAAAATCCATTTACATGCATGGTGAGTTCAGTCTGGTTGAAATCTATGCTTCTGAGATGAGTTCGGGTTTGCTACAAATCCAAATAGATGCAAACCAGGACCTCCCACTCGTCATTTGTTCGACCCAATTTATCTTGTAAGTATGAAGAATCCAAGTGCTGAAATTAGATTGAAATTGAGCAGATAAGATATATTGTACACTTTTCCATTTATAATTACTCGGAATTAATTGATTAATGCTCATGGGAATGACTGCAATAAGGTAAGATGCATACTGTGATGCCTACCAATGAGATAACCAATCAATTTNCTACAAATCCAAATAGATGCAAACCAGGACCTCCCACTCGTCATTTGTTCGACCCAACTTATCTTGTAAGTATGAAGAATCCAAGTGCTGAAATTATATTGAAATTGAGCAGATAAGATATATTGTACACTTTTCCATTTATAATTACTTGGAATTAATTGATTAATGCTCATGGGAATGACTACAATAAGGCAAGATGCATACTGTGATGCCTACCAATGAGATAACCAATCAATTCAATTATTCATTTACTTATTGCAGGTACTTCAATAGGGAAGCGATATGCGAGANCAAGATGCATACTGTGATGCCTACCAACGAGATAACCAATCAATTCAATTATTCATTTACTTATTGCAGGTACTTCAATAGGGAAGCGATATGCGAGAACAGATGAACTTGGGGTTCCTTTTGCCATTACAGTGGATTCAACATCGTCGGTCACAGTCCGGGAAAGGGACAGCAAGCAGCAAATTCGCGTGAATGTGGAAGACGTGGCAGCTGTAATTAAGGAGGTGACTGATGGACTGAGCACTTGGGGTGATGTTCTGTGGAAGTACCCTACTCACTCATCGTGATAGGCGAATGAGTGAATTTGAGAGGCANGTCGGTCACAGTCCGGGAAAGGGACAGCAAGCAGCAAATTCGCGTGAATGTGGAAGAGGTGGCAGCTGTAATTAAGGAGGTGACTGATGGACTAAGCACTTGGGGTGATGTTCTGTGGAAGTACCCTACTCACTCATCGTGATAGGCGAATGAGTGAATTTGAGAGGCATTAGCTGGCTTATCAGCACTCCATTGGTAGCCAATAGTGTCAAGTTGAGTAATATTATACATCAAGATGCTTTGATTTTTGTCCTCAAAACTCCGTTTACACTTTCAGGTTTTTGTTGTTCAAATACTACTGGTACGATTTTATATTAATCGGTATGCAAAATAGTGTAACATGTTAACAGGATGTTCTATTAGTATGAAATGCAGTCTCTCGTATGTATTGTTTTTTATTAAGAATTTAAAGTCCGATCGAACGGAGTGGATGGAGGTAATAAACATGAATGGAACTTGGTCACGAAGTTTTGCAGGAATGGTAACTAGGACCTGAATCTCTTGGGCAATTTTAGTATCCAAACCAAATTAATCGATGCCTTTGTTGAGTACCCTTTGGATATGAATGTCAGTAGGTCTNTTAAAGTCCGATCGAACGGAGTGGATGGAGGTAATAAACATGAATGGAACTTGGTCAGGAAGTTTTGCAGGAATGGTAACTAGGACCTGAATCTCTTGGGCAATTTTAGAATACAAACCAAATTAATCGATGCTTTTGTTGAGTCCCCTTTATGAATGTCAGTAGGTCTAGTCTACAATGGCACCATTCAAAAACTAAAGGGTCAAGACAAGATACAGTTTAGAAAGGCTATTGACCCCCC